ACTGAAATGGGTGTAATATATTCAAAAGAGGAGGCAGAGAGTCTAGGTAAAAATCACTTCAGGTCTGTCAAGAATTCAGCCAATGTGGACATAAATTATTGCAACCACTAATAATGTTAAAGATACAACAACCAAGACAGAAACAAAATAAGACTGAAAGCATGGATGCATGGAACAGACTGGCATACCTAGATGTGGGGGGTCAAGGGACAAGGAGAGAGAAACCAAAGAACTTATATATGCACCATGGACATGGACAATAGGGTATGAAGACCTGAGGGGGGATGGGGCGGGGGGAGGTGGTAGGCATCTGTAATACTGTCAGTAATAAAAATATATATTTAAAAAAAAGAAAATGTGGTGTGTATGTGTATGTAATGGAATACTATTCAGCCATAAAAAGGTAGGAAATCTTGCCATTTGTGACAATCTGGATGGACTTTGAGAGCATTATGCTAAGTAAAACAGTCAGACGGAAAAAGACAAATATTATGTGATCTCACTTATATGTGGAGTCTAAAAAACCAAACTCATAGAAACAGAACAGACTGGTGATTACCAGAGCCAGTGGGTGGGGGAAATGAGTGAATGTGGCCAAAGGATAAAACTTCAGTTATAAGTGAGTAAGTCCAGGGGATGTAACATACAACATCATAACTATAGTTAATACCATATTGTATATTGGAAAGTTGCTAAAAGGGTAGATTTTAAAAGTTCTCATCCACCAAAAATTAATTATAACTATGTGAGGTGATGAATGTGATAACTAGCCTAATTATGGTAATCATTTTATAATATATACATATATCAAATCATTCCATGAAACTTACACAATGCTATTTGTGAATTATATCTCAATAAAGCTAGAAAAAATACATTAATGCTCAAGAGCTTGCATTCCAAATTCTATGATATAAACATACTATTATTAAGCCACTTTCTAAAAAAAAAAATAAGTAAAATACCCTTTTTTTTTTTCAGTAAAAGTCTTGCTACTACTATTTATCATTAGGTATTAAGGATCCATAGTGGGTCTCTCTTTCAATTTCCTCCTCACCTTACTCCTAGAAAGCAGTCAATGAAGGCTTATTGAATGAACTATTGACAAATGGATGTTTAAAATTTAAAAGCTATTTGTTTCTCAATAAGATGTGGCTGCAGGTGTGTGTTTTTAAGTAAATTAGTATTTTAAAAGCCAGAGGCAGTACTTAATAGAAGTGTGGTGTGGCTCTAGTCTATTCTACATTTGGATAATCACCCTTCCTTATGACATTGAAAGTTCCCCCTCTTGATTCTCAAAGTGACCCCTCTTGATTCTCAAAGGTGTTCAGAAGCACAGTGGGGGAAAGGGCAAGGTGCTCCAAGGGAGCTGTGCGCCCTGCCCTGCCCTGCCACTAAGACTCCTTAGATTGAAGGAAAGAGCCCATTTGCCTCCTAACTAGTCTCATTAAGCCGAAAAGGTACATATCCAAGGATAACTCACGTTTAATATCATGATGAATCACTTTCTTTGAGTGTAGAAAATCAAGTCCCTTGAGAACATGCTTTGTCACCCAAATAATTTCAAATTCTCTCATTGGTCCACAGCTCTCCAGTTTCTCCAGAACAGACCCTCCCTCGCCTGCTTCCATGAAGAGATGGACAGTTTCACCCCATAGGACTGCGCCATATAACTCAGCAATGTTCTCATGTCGGAAGCAAGCCTGGATTTCCACATCAGATGGCTTAAATTGATCTACTGGGATCTAAAACACAAAAATACCAGTAAGATTCTAAAGAACTCCAGGACAATGAAAAATATATATAAAGTTAGCTCTCTGTACCAGCAGATTCTTCACCCACTGATACCAAGGTCCAACTAAGGGATGTGAGCATCTGAGGATTTTGGGGGTTTCCTGGAACCAGTCCCCCTCAGATGCCAAGAGATGACTGTCAACCCACAGATCAGAGGACAAATCAATGCCCTCAAGAATACCCTGATCTGCATAAAATTGTACTGCTTAGTTAAAATAAGGTTGACTTGAGATCTGCCTTCACATTATATGAGCTTTAGGTAAGCAATTCAAAATAAGAAAATAAAAAACACAAGAATGTATAAATTATTATTTTCATTTAGAGTATAGAATCCAATCAAAGAAACGTTTATGACTGCATCAAAAGAGATAATTTCTTATCTATTATATATGTAATTTCCATAGCACTTAGATTTTAGGTCATATTTTCAATAGTTCATGTCATAAAATAATAATTCTTTGGTTCCACAGCTCATGCTCTAACAATGCATTTAAAATAAGCATTGAGCATCCATTCTATAGAAAATCAAGTCATTAATAAAGAAAGAAAGAAACCTTTCAGTTCGGATATGAAATGTCTCCAAAGTATAGTGTTAGATGAAAAATGCAAGACACAGAACTATGTATATTATGTCTCCATTTGCAAAAAAATAAAAATTAAAAATAATTTAACTATACAAGCATATGTCCATAGAGACTTTCTGGAAGGGTACATAAGAACCCATTAAGTAGTAGTTCCCTCAAGAAAAGGGATCTCATTTATTAAGCCCACCCTCTTCTGAATCTGTTTGGAATTGTTAATTATCTTATATGTTTTTATTTTTTAAGAAAATATATATAGCTTAAAAATTAAATGTAGTATTAACAAGGAAAGCAAACCCACAAAGCTATTTTCCCATGCCTTTTATGATGAAACTGAAACACAGGACATTTTGGTTCTAAGATCTTTATGTCACCAGATTTTTTTAAAAGAACATGAATATGTCCTCTATAATTGCAAGCTTCAAGTGGCTTATTATGACACCTGGGTTTTTTCCTTCTAATACCAGGTATTCTACCAAATCTTTATGAAGGAACAAATAAAGCCAACATATTGTCAATCTTTTAATTATGATAACAGAGATTGAGATGATATTCAGCAATTATTTTATTTTTGTTAAATCAAGTGAGTTTATTTTATTGCACTTAAAAATGTTTCAAAATAAAACAGACATATGTAAAAGTGTAAAAGTAGTTAAGTATCAAACTCAATGCATTATTAGCTGACCACACCCATATAACCAACATCTAGATGAAGAAACAGAATTCTACCAGCACCCAGAGACCGCTTTGAACTCCTCCAGTTACTACTCCTTAAGGGAGCCCACTAACCTCATTTCCAACAGCATGGATTTGGTGAGCCTATTTTTGGCCTTTATTCTAGTATAAGTAGAAACTTATACTGTAGATCATATTTTGTGTCTGGCTGGTTTAGTTCAACATAATGATTATGAGATTCATCTACATTACTAACATTGTAAATCATTTATTTTCTTGGCTATTCAGCATTCCATTGTGTCAATATACCACATTTTAGCAACTGGAAACTTTTCAGTTTGGGACTATTACAATAGTGCTGCCATGAACATTCTAGCACATTGTGGGAAACTGTTTAATGCCTTCACTATCTGATACACATAGACAGAAAT